AAATGGGGAACATGCCACCGTCCCGTTCTTCCAACTCGTCGCTATCGACCACCACCACCAACACAGCTACGACAACAACCCCCACTGCCGCTAATGTCATGACTGCGACGGCGGCTTTTGTTTCAAGCGGAGATTCACAGCCATCGGTGCTTTCTACTAAAGTTGTGAACCGGGCAGCAGGTAATAACGGTGTTGTCAAGGCGAAGCGGCTTCGTAGTGGCAGTGCCATGTCTGACTCGCGGCGTACTTCTGCACGCCAGGAAAAGTAGCCTGGATTATCTGTACGGGCTGATAGATAGAAAGAGAGTGTGTATGTGTGCGTGTAGGTTCCTTCTTTGTGAGAGAAGAAGGGTCCTTTTTTATATTTTATTTTTATTTTGGACAACTTGCATTTTTAGATTTTAGACACATATATATATTTCTTGTTTCGTACGTATAATTCACCCGCCTGTAGTGTATAAGGGGGCTAGCGTTGATTATCACGGCACAGAGAGATAGAAGAAAATGGATTGGAGGAACAGGAAAAGGAACGTGAGAGAGCTGTCAGCTCGCATTTCTCTTTTGTTTTATAGCCTGAGAGAGTCACTTTGATTTATTTATTTTATTTTATTTTTTAATGTGAGTGTATTTCACGGCACGCATCATTAGAATACATATATGCGCTGCATCGTCGCTGATCATTGCTCTCCATGTGCCTTTCTAAGCCACAAACCATTCCTCCGTGGAATACACACATGTGTACACCTTTATTATTATTATTAATTTCTTTTCTTTTTGTTTTTTTCTCTCTCTCTGCTATGCTAACATGTGCGTCTGCTTACATTTGCATGTGCACATGTTTAATACGTTGGTCACAGAAGGGCTGTTCTCTCTCTCTCTCTTTTTAGTCTCTCTCCGTGGGGGAGGGGTCAATGGACTCGCTGTCTTTCCGTCTGGTGCGGCCCATGAACCGGCTGACGCAGCTGGCTCTCCTGAAGCACTTTCAGTGTCACCCGGAGCAGCTGACGGCATTCAACGCAAAGTTGATTCAGCGGTACGCACTCCTCGACTACGTGGATCACCGGACGATGCTGGAGATTCTCACAAAAATGGCGAAACAGCCGCCTACGACAGCGTCGCTTATCGGTCTCCGGCAGACCCTGCAGGCTGTTCAGCGTTTCCCACTTGCTTTGGAGGCGGACAAGCGAGCATTTGAGACCGAGTTGCTGAATTCTGTACTCGCGACACCAGCGGACACGCTTTCGTCCGTGGAATACGGTGCTCTGTGGTCGTTCACCACACAAACCACGGCGTGGGAAGATGTGTTGCGGCTGTCAAACACCTTTCCTTTGCAGAGCACCCTCCCGCTTCAGAGCGAAAGGGAATTTCGCATCGTGTTGAACCAAATGCTCATGTCAGCTATTCCTGTTGCTTTGACATCACCCGTGTCTTCTTCCATGGACTCGCAGCCGCGTGGTGTGCGGCTGCTGAAGGAGTTGGTGGGAGAAGAAACGGCTTTAAAGCGCGCATTTGATGGCATTGTTCACTCCGATGCCTGCTGGACAGAACGGGAATCTGCCGTGTTCACATTTGTGGGTGTTGTGCACGCATTGGGACGGTGGCCGAGCGAACACATCCCTGAGGAAAAGGCGTGGAAACAGCTTGCACTGCACCCAACAACATCTCATGATGTCGATCTTCACCAGCTGCTGCGGGTGCTGGTGCGGGTGTACAGTCCATTGGTGCCGGAGTACGTGCGGGAGTCTCTTGACGAGGCCATGAGCACCGACTTGTGGCGCTGTTACTCCGAGCTGCCAAACGCGCCGGTGGCTGTGTTTTTTGGGTTGGGGGAGCCGCGGCTGAGGTTCCCCGACGATCAAAAAACGGAGGAGGAGCATGCGATGGATCGTGACGAGAAGACGCAGGAAGGTTTAGCGACAACCTCTCAATCACGGCAAATGCAAGAAGCACTACGACGGCTGCATGAACGTGCTGTGGAGAAGCAGCTCCGCAGCGACGGACCACCGCTGGGCGTGTCAGTGCTCATTAATCTTCTCATCAGTAACACTTTCCTGCGGGTTCAGGGAGATCTTTTCCATGCTATTATTGCAGCGTTAAAGGGTGCGTTGGCATCGCCATCATCATTGCGATCGGTGACTCCGTTGCAGGCGGCCATTATTGCCGCATGCCTGAATCAAGTACAACAAATGTTAACGGGAACCCACGCATCTTCTTTAACTGTGGGTGATACAGGCAAAGACATGGAGGCGATTGCGAGGCTTCTTTTGCCGCTTTTGAGTTACAAGCACATGAAAGATCATGGCTCTGCGCGATGTGTGTCGATGTTACTTTGTGACTGCCCTTGCTGGACACGAGAGTGGGGTTTGGAGGAGGGATGCCTAAATCTACTGCGAGAACACGCACAGGATGGTTTTACCAGGGCGCAGCTGCAGAGGATTTTGAAATGTGACAGTCACGGCCTTCTGTCGCTTCCGGTGGAGGTGAAAGGGATCCTTGAGAAGCAGGCCGCAGAAGTGCCTGAGAGGTGATAAATAGCAAGGACCGAAACTCGCGGGACTGTTAAAGAAGAGGCGGAAAAAAAACAGAAGGAAATATATAAAAGGACAAAAAAAAGGAATAATTACAGATTTTTTTTTCTTGTTCATGGCGGCATGGAGGCAGATCCATATTTCCCGTTGACTGTGTTTTCGAGTCGTTAACTTTTCTTTTTCTTCTTCTCTGTATGTTTTTATATGCGTGCCTGTCTGTATGTGTGTGTCTTTGTGTTCGTCACAGAAGACTTTTCATGTATGGTTATGGTTGTTTTTTTTTTTTTTTTTTATCCTCACGGAAGGAAATTGTACATTGTTTGCTCTTTTGCGTGGTAGGGTTTAGAAGGAAGAGGGTTGTGTGAAATGGATGAAAAGCCACGTTTAGTGGAGCCCGCTGTGACGTTGTGGCGGGCCGCCAATGTCATCATCATTTTTGGCTTCCCGTGGCAAACGAGCGAGTTGCAGATCCGAAATTATCTTCTGCATTTGCACCCGTCTGCGGCGCCAGTGACGGTGCGTCTGTACACAAATCCTACAAACGGCTCCAGTCGTGGCATTTGTTTTGTCGAGTACAATACAAAACACCGGAGTACCGGCATAAAGAGTGAGCAGATGGAGGAGGAGGAATGCGTTGTCACAGTGGTAAAGAAGAAGATTGAGGAAACACCGTTTGCGCGACAGTACCTGACGGCGGTGTTGTATCACTTGACGAATCAAAACTGGGATCGCGGTGGCCGCCTGCCGGATCTGCCGACAGATCCACCGCCAACACGCGGTGGATGGGTGGAAGGTTACGGCGATGAAGGCTTCTCAGTGCGGTGTGGCGCAGTATTGGGACTGGCGAACACTGTGACGGCGAGTGGTGTTGCCAGTATGCAGGCCCTACGTAAAAGACTCCGCTCAGAGGCAGAAGCGGCGTGATGAATACCGATCTTCTACTGTTTTCTTCCTGTTTCCCCTTCTGTGTATGTGTGTGTGTGCGTGGGTGTGTGGGTGGCCTATAATACATACATATGCATACATACATGCATTTGGCCATGTATGTACGGCATGCACACAAGTGAAGATTTAACGACTTGTCTTTTCCATGCTTTTTTTTTCTGCGATTTTCTTTGAACCACACACACACATTTTCTCTCTCACTTAATTTATTTCTTTCTCTTCTTTTTTTTCTCTTTTTATCGGTGTGTACACATGCTTTTGATTGAGAAGCAATCACGACTGTTGAAAAAAAAAAAAAAAAAACAACTGAAAATATATATATATTTATATCGTTTTAATTTTTGTTTGAAGGTTGATTTATTTTTTTACTTTTTTTGGTAAAATGACTTCCATGAAGAAGGTCCTGACGTCTCTTGCTGTAGGCATCCCGTCGCCACTCCCGCCGCCGTGCAAGGAACTTGACGAAAGTGTCCCCCATGCGCCAAAACGAACGCCCAACCTTTCACCGGCGGATCGTCGCCAGGCAATTGCAAATGCCCTGCGTTACTTCAACACCGCCGATCATGAGGTCCTCGCGGAGGAGTTCAGCAGGGAACTGGATGAATACGGCCACATTTACATGTACCGTCTCCGCCCCACCCAGTACGAGATGAGGGCCTACCCCATCACCGACTATCCCGCTAAGAGCAAGTATGCGGCGGCGATGATGATGATGATTATGAACAACCTCGATAATCGTGTGGCCATGTTTCCCCACGAACTGATCACCTACGGTGGCAACGGTGGTGTGTTCAACAACTGGGCACAGTTCTGCCTAACGATGAAATATCTATGCGAAATGACAGACCATCAAACCCTGGCGCTCTATTCTGGCCATCCATTGGGTTTATTTCCAAGCCACCCTGATGCCCCTCGTGCAGTGATTACAAACGGTATGATGGTCCCGAACTACTCTACCCGTGAACAATATGACCGACTGTACGCGATGGGATGCACACAATATGGTCAGATGACAGCGGGCTCCTTCTGCTACATTGGCCCACAGGGAATTGTCCATGGTACTACCATCACCTTCCGCAATGCAGGACGCAAATACCTTGGTGTAGAGGACCTTGCTGGAAAAGTCGTTTTGACCAGCGGTCTTGGCGGCATGAGTGGTGCGCAGGGAAAGGCTGGTGTTATTTGCGGTGCCGTTGTCGTTGTGGCTGAGGTTGACCCCAATGCCCTGTACAAACGGAAGGGACAAGGATGGTTGATGGAGGTGGAAACAGATGTGGAGGCCCTTCTTAGGCGTGTCCGCGCAGCTTCTGCTGCAAAGGAGGCTGTCAGCATTGGCTTCCTTGGCAACGTCGTCACCGTGTGGGAACGTCTGGTGAAGGAAAAGGATGAGATTGTGCACCTTGGCTCCGACCAAACGAGTTGTCACAACCCATTTAACGGTGGCTATTACCCTGTCCAGCTCACCTTTGAAGAAAGCAAGAAGATGATGGTGGAGGATCCAGCCATGTTCAAGGAACTAGTTCAGGAGTCCCTGCGCCGTCAAGTCGCAGCGATCAATGAAATGTCCGCACGCGGCTTGCGCTTCTGGGATTATGGCAACAGTTTTCTGCTGGAGGCCTCCCGTGCAGGGGCAGAAGTGTGGACCCCCGACGACACGGTGAGAAGCATCAACCGTTTCCGTTATCCATCATACGTGCAGGATATTATGGGCGATATCTTTGCACTTGGCTTCGGCCCCTTCCGCTGGGTGTGCACCTCGTGTCTGCCGGAAGACCTTGAGCTCACCGACCGCATCGCCACGGAAACGCTGGAGAAGCTGATGAAGGACGCCTCCACTAAGTCGCAGAAACAAATCTCCGATAACCTTCTTTGGATTAAACAGGCTGGGGAGAACAAACTTGTTGTCGGCTCGCAAGCACGCATTCTCTATGCCGACTGTGAAGGACGGCAGACAATCGCCAAGAACTTCAACGATGCCGTTCGCGATGGTCGACTGAAGGGTCCGGTGGTGCTTTCGCGGGATCATCACGATGTGAGCGGCACCGATTCACCCTTCCGCGAAACCTCCGACCTGTACGATGGATCCTCCCTTACTGCAGACATGGCGGTGCAGAATGTGATTGGTGACGCCTTCCGTGGTGCCACTTGGGTGTCGCTGCACAACGGTGGTGGCACAGGCTGGGGCGAGGCCACGAACGGTGGCTTTTGTCTGGTACTAGACGGTTCCGCCGATGCAGAACGTCGTGCCAAATTGATGCTTTTGTGGGATGTCTTGAACGGTGTGACCCGTCGTGCGTGGAGCGGAAATGCGTGTGGCCATGAGGCTATGCTGCGGGCGGTATCCCGCGTGGAGGGATTGCATGTCACTGTTCCCCAGCATGTTCATCCCGATGTGCTTAAGAAGTATTAGCAGGACGTGTCACCTAACACGTTCCTGTCCTCCCATTATCTTTCTTCTTTATTGTTGTTTTAATGCCCCTACACACAATTGTTATTTTGACGTATCGAGGAAAACAAAAATCTGTCCACAAGTTTATATATGAAAACCACACAAATAAAACAGAAGAAAACAAGAAAATGGTTTATGGAGGCTCAACGCAAAACGGGGCTTTCTCTTTTTTTTAAATTATCCTCGGTGTATATCTGTGTGTGTGTGTGTGTGTTTTTCCCCTTTTCTGTGTAAAAATAAAAAAATAAAATAAAAAAGGCATATGTGTCATGATCAAATGAAGTGGAGGTGAATTAATTGAAAATGGAACGCCCTATGAAAAGAACCCGTGAAGAACGAACACCAAAGAATGAAAAATGAAAGCGAATATTGACACAATTACAATAACATTCACCGCTTCACTGAAATGTGCACAGAGACACACACACACACACACACACACACAGACAGACAGACAGAAAAACAGCGACGGAGAGAGAAGATTTATTGTCACATGTTGTGTATTTGTATGTGTGTATACCGATACATCTTCCTTTCTGTCTTTATTGGTGAAATATGGGCGGTTATTTATTGATTTATTATTATTTATTTATTATTATTTTTTTCTTTTTCATCGCCAAGTTTTATTTTATTTTTTTTTATTTTATTATTTTTTTTTTTTGGATTTATTTATTTTGTTTTATTTTATTGGGTGACGTTTATTAACTCACACGCACACGCACAGTAGTTTTCGCTCTTCTTCTTTCCCGCCGGGTTGTTTTTTTCCCGCAGACTTCTTCAAAGCCCGCGCGGGTGGTGGTGGTGGTGGTAGTGAGGAGGAGGAGGACTTGTGACCGCTGTATTTATGTGGTGTGTGTGTGTGTGTGTGTGTGTGTGGGGGGAGAAGCGTAGCGATGGCTGTGAAGGCCAAAAGGGGAGACAGAGAAGCGTGCAAATGACTTTGTTTGTTTGTTTCAGAAGAGTGGGGCGGGGTAAGGGAAAAGAAAAAAAAACGAGAGAAGAATTTTTTTTTTTAATGTCTACTGCGCAAAAGGGAAAAAAATAAAAAAATAACAAAAATAAAAGAAAAGAAAAGAAAAGAAAAAAAATAAGAAATGGGAGGAGAGGGAGGAGAGGGAGGGAAGTGGGGGGGAAGGCAGAAATATTATGACATATATATTTTTGCATGCTAGTGGATGCATGCACGCTTTTATTACAATGCGATGTTTTTTTTTTCCTGTTATTTATTTATTTATTTATTTTTTTGTGTGACTGAAGGCTCTTGCATCGTGTCGTCTGAGTCTTTTTTTTTTGTTATTATTTTTATTGCTCTCTTAATTGTTTTTCTGTGTCTGTTTTTCTGCCCTTTCTTTTTTATTTTTATTTTTTTGTTTGTTTGTTTGTGTGTATGCGGGGGCCGTGCCAGTTTTTGTGTTCGTGGAAGGTAGCAGGAAGGAAAACCCCCCGCTGAACAACAAATAGGGACGCGTGTTTTTCTTTTTTTTTTTTTGTGTGTGCTTTTATTTTTGGCCGCTTGTTTTGTTTATTTTTTGTATCTCTAGCCATGCGGAGGCGTGAGGTGGATTTTGTTGAGAATGTCGCGGGGGCGGAGGAATTGGCGAAGCAGAAACAGATGGCATTGGCCTTGTGCCCTCCGCAGGACACGAAGAGCGAAGGGCAGCAGCGGCAGTTCTTTATTCCACCGATGAAGCCGCCCGGGAGGGCAGGCTCGTCCTTCTCCCACGGGGGATTTCCACGTACTCGCGAATCGCTTATTTCAAAGGCGCAGCGCGACGCATTGACGGTGTCTGCATTTGGATTTGGCACAACACGTCATGGCCAGCCGGACAAAAGTGCCGCCGCTGTTCAGGACGGCTTCTCCACCGCCGCAGGGCAGACGGATGGCATTGTGGTCTCACAGAGCGAAAAGGAATCGGTGCGCTTTCATCTTTGCGTCAGTGCACTTTCGGAGGGCTGCGTGGCGACATTCATCCACCTGTTTGAGCTTTCCCACCGTGACCCCGTGTGCGTAGATGAGCTCGCGCAGACTCACTTCACCGTCCCCGACGACCGCCTCGAATGGGTGAAAAACCAACTCTCCGCGATTGAGGTGCTGCGCCGACAGAGTGAATTCCACAATGTCTATGAACGCTGTCAGGCACTGGCAGATTATTTTGAAGCCGAACGCGATCATGACGAGGCGGCCTGGCACTACGAAACGGCATTGCGCTTCGCGATGGAGTCCCTTGATCGCCCATTGGAGCAGAAGGTGCGTGGCGTGTACGCTGCCTTCTTTGAACGGCGGAAACAGTTCCGCAAGGCACTGACGCTCTATGAGGCCATGTATAAGTTGGCCCTGGCACTTGAGGATGAGAAGACTGCACTCGAGGCGAATTGTCATGTTATGCGAACGTGTAATGCACTGGGGGAGGAACTGAAACGGACAAGCCCCGAGGAAGCTAAGCGGTTCTTTGATCGTGCTGTCGCCATTGCCAAAAATATTGGAAGTGCCAGGGACGAAGCGGCTGGATTCCATGCACTCGGTTTGATATGTGAACAATTGGGTGACTTGCAACAGGCCCTGCAGTATCAACAGTCCTTCTTAGATGTATCGCAGCGAAAAGGACTTATTGAGAATGAGCGAAAGGCTGCTTTGGTTGTTGCTAGTCTGCAGGAACGCATGCAATTAAGTTCGGAAGCGATGCAATCACTGAAACAGGCGTTGGCTGTATCTAGTGAAACAGGAGATCTAGAGGGTGTCTGTCATGCCACCATGCAGCTTGGACAGGCCTGTAAGAGTAACGGTGATGAAGAGATGGCGCTTCACTACTTTCGTGCAAACTTTGAGGCGGCGTGTCGTCAGCGTAATCAAGACTTATTGGATCAGGCACGTGTTGCTTTGGGCTTTGCACTTGGTGAGAATTATTTTAAGCACGCAGGCGGTGGCCGCGGGTATGTACCGATTGTCTGCTACGACGTGAAGGCACAATTAGAGTGGATGAGTAAGGGCGTATTGTGAATGAACAATAACAGCAAAAGTAGAATCTTTTTTTTTCTTTTTATTTCAGTGTGCCACTAGCGGGTGTAATGTATATATTGTGTAATGTAACGTAAAGTATATGTATATAATATATATATATATATAGATATATTATATACATATGTATGCTTGCATACATGCTTCTCTCTTCTTCTCTCTTCCTTTTTTTTTTTTTAGTTTTTCCCTTATTTGCTATTTGGTTCTAATGGTGCTTTGGCAAAAACAACACAATCTTTCACGGAAGTTGTAGGGAATACTCCCTCACCCCCACCCACCCCCCTTTTCCTTTTTTTTTCTCTTTCAAAGGGGACATTACTCTCTGTACGCATTCCTGCCGTGATTTTTTTCTTCTCCAACGTGCGTTCCCCCTCCTTTTTTTTTTTATATTTTTTAATTTTTTTTGTTGGTTTTGTTGTGCCCCGGGCAAACAAACACACCCAAACCATGCAGATAGATAAATTGACACACACCTCTGCGGGTAGTAGGCAGCGTTACGGGTGTCACCGTATGGAGTTTCTCGTGAAGGCGTTGCAGCTGCAGCACTCTCGCTGCGAGGTCTACCAGCTCTGGGACGCCAAGTTTCACCTTGCGCTCTCCGGTGCGTTGAGTGCAGTGGACCTGCAGACAATACTAACAAACACGATTGTCGCTGCTTTTCAACAGGTGAGCTCGTCGCTGCGACAGCTGCAGGATATCATTCGGGTAGAGGAAAAGGAGGCGGCAGAAGATGGCGATTTGCGGCAGTTTTTGGTTGCATGGATTGATCGGGTGCAGCGCTTGGAGCAGGAACACTACCACACGTCCGTTCGCCTGTCACAACAGATCGCGGAGCACGGCAAAGTCGTCTCACTCACACAACGTGACACGAGGGAGACGGCAACAAGTCCGGAGGATGATTTGTATGCGAACCCTACGACGACGCGGAGCTGTGCTCCCTGAGACGATTGGTTCCTTTGACAAGTCAAAAGGCCTTTACATTTGTCTCGTGTTGCGATGCCACAGCGCTTTCTTCCGATTATGACGATGATTTGGGAAAAGGGGAAAATATGGAGACGAACGAAAGTGGTGAAAAAGCAAGAAACGATGCAACTGACGACGAAGACAACGAGCGGGTGTCTTTTGAGTTTAAATCTGGCGTCATGGTGCCGTACGCTCCAAAAAAGGTGCGGCGGTGTTGTCTGGCATTCAACAAGACGGTGCTGCCGCTCTGGAAGGCGAAGCGGAGTCTCATGCAGCAGCTGCAGGACTGGACGGAAGAATTACAGGCGGAAGTGGCAAGCGCGGCCACAGTCAAATGAAAAAGATGTTCTTTACACCCCATTTCCTTTTGTGTGTCTTTTCCTTTTCACTTCGGTCTGTGCCTGCGTGTTTTTTTTTTTTTTTTTGAGAGGATTCCCTGCATGAACTTGTGTGTTACGTCTTTTTATTTCTCACTTTTTTTTCCCCCTTCAGTTGAGTCTCTCAATAATCTCAATTATTACAAAGCAGAAGCTCAACAACAACAACAACAAAAAAAAAAAGTTTCTTTGGCGTACGCACGTGTGAACCATTTGCAGTCGGAAGTGCGTCATGTCGGGTGAAAATTTGTCTCGGTTCCTCATGGAGAACATGACGACGGCCTCGATGGCGAAGCTGCAACAGTGGAGCACGAAATTGCTGGAATTCGCCCATTATGTTTCAGAGAAGCCGTGTAAAGGGATGGCTCTCGTTACAAGTGGCGGTACCGCCGTTCCAATAGAAGTGAACTCTGTACGTTATCTCTCAAACTTTAGTTCTGGTGGTCGTGGTGCTGGCATGGTGGAAGCCCTTCTGCAGCGTGGGTGGGCATGCGTCTTCTTGTATCACGAGCATTCATCCCGCCCATTTAGGCGAAATCTTGACCATTTAAGCACAGAGCAGCTCTTCGCAGAGCTCGCCGCGCCGGTGCGATCGCCTAACATCGTCGCTGCTATGCAGGCGTATGAGCGTCTCGGCGACCGCATTTTGTATGTTCCGTTTAATACAGTAACGGAGTATTTGTTTCTTTTGCAACTCCTCTCAGAGGCGATGAGTCACCGTGCGGAGTGTCTGAAGTCGTTGCCGATGATGCTCATTGCGGCCGCGGCAGTCTCGGACTACTTTATACCTCTCAGTCGCATGTCGACGCACAAGATAAGCGGGGGTGATGGCCTCCACGTTCATTTTGAAAATGTGCCAAAGGCTCTTGATTTTATCAGCGAGAGGTGGCATTTGTCCTCTGCCACGGTCCCGCGTTATTTGATCACCTTCAAGCTGGAAACGGAGGAGGAGACATTGAAGAAGAAAGCGCTACAAAACCTCTTCAAATATAAATGCGATGCGGTTGTGGCAAATATGCTGCAGAACTACCGGGAGCGGGTAGTGTTGTACTGGAAGAGGGAGGAACATCAGCCGGTTCCTTTACTGCGACCAGAAGTCGGTTCCTTTGAGGCACTTATTGTGGATGCATTCCTGGAGCGCATCGAGAAGGAAATGTCGAAGAATGCAGAGTCCATCCAATAATGCCATGGCGAGGCATACGATATGCCGGGGTGGCGGAAAGGAGAAAAAAAAATAAAAATAATAATAATAATAATGGAGCGATAATGTGTTGAATGTGAATTTGTTTGTTTGTCTGTTTTTGCTTCTTTTTTTTTTTTTTCTTCTTTTGTGTGTGTATGCGTTTGTAGGTTTACGTTTTTTTTTTTTTTTTTTGTTTGCCCGCCGCACGATGGTGGTGACAGGACGTCAGTTGTTTATCTTTTCATGTACTTTGCGTCTGACGATATGTTTCTTTTTTTTGCTTCCACCATTCTCGTGGTTTGTCCCCATAGATCTCTCTCTCTCTCTCTCTTTTGTTTCTTTTTTTTCTCTCTTTCTCTATCTGTTTGTGTGCGTGTGTGTGGACGTATGGGTGGGCCTGGTTTTTTTTTTTTTCTTTTTTTTTCTTCTTTTACTTTAAAACAAGTGAGTTTGGCTTGATCACTGCCACGTTCTTGTGTGCATTTTGTCATTTCTGGGCATTGATTTTAAATGACCGTGGAAGGGAGGCCGCTGGTAACGTTCCGTCAGCGTACTTTCACTCACGGCAACGGTGAGCCATCGTCATCCTTGTCGTGCGTCCATGTCTCGCAGCAGTGCTTCTCCGACTGCGTCTGGGTTCTCGTCACGGAGGATGACACGTGTGCGCCTGGTGTGGTGCTGCGCCACGACCCTCACGAAATGGGGTTAGGGTCCCATTGGGAGAACCCGAATGCATTGCCGTCGACGCCATGCGAATGTCTTCTGGGGATGCGGGACCACCCCCTCACGAACGTCGTCGCCGGCGTCATTGCACACGCCATTCATTCGGATGGGGAGCAGCGGCCGCTGTTGTTGTGCATTAGCCTCACGAAAACGGCAAAGCGACTGGAGAACTCAACGGAAAGAATGGCATTTGTGCGGAAAGTAAGAGACGAAGTGATGTTACTTGCCACTGGGCAGAGTTGATGTGGGGCGGTGTGGGGGAGGTCGCATGTACGCACACACACACACACACAGAGAGATAGAGAGGGATGAATGGATGGATGGATGGAAAGGAGGATTACTTTTGCATGGAACTGCAGTATCGCCTTGTATCTTAGCCGGTGATTACATGGTAGTCTGTGGGTTGGGTCTTTGCACCTGTTTATTATTATTATTTTTTTTTTTGGTCCTTGTTGTTTCTGTTCATTTGGGTGACGCGTTCTTTTATTTATTTATTTTATTCTTTTATCACTCACCTCTACCGCGTCACTGCGCACAATACATCAAGGGAGAATTCAGCCAACAGCAAAGCGAAGGAAAGTGATAAAACCAAGAAAAAACAAACAAACAAATATTCAAATAGTTTTATAGTTTTACATATTTGAACGGACCAAACAAATACCGTGTCATAGTTATTTTATTTTATTTTATTTTATTTTATTTTATTTTTTGTATTGAAGACATCATGGAGGCATACAAGAAGCTTGAAACAATCTTCACGAAGATTTATCGTTTTCGTCATTTAATTTCAATGGCGTTTTGGGACATACAAGTGTTAATGCCACGGGGTGGTGCTGAAGCCCGCGGTGCGGCCCTTGCGGAGCTCCAGCTGCACGTCCACGAATTGCTAACCGACCCTAAGATGCGAGACCTGCTGCTGGAGGCGGAGAAAAACAAGGAACAGCTTGGAACTCTGCAACAGGCAAATCTGCGCGAGATACGTCTTGAGTGGGAACGGGAGAATCTTCTTCCGGAGGAAATTATAAAGAAAAAGTCGGAATTAACGACCAGAGCCCAGCAAATATGGCGAAAGAGTCGAGAAGAAAATGACTTCAGTCAGTGGTTGCCCATGTTAAAGGAGCTGGTGGCATTATTTTATGAGACAGGCGTTGCCCTGGCGGGAAACACCGGCAAACATCCATATGAGGCGCTCCTGCAATTGTATGAACCTGGGATGTCCCTTGAGCGAATTGATGAAATATTTAATGAAATTAAATCATGGCTTCCCGCACTTATTCGTGAGGTAATGGAGAAGCGGAAGACCGCCGGCGAGGAAGTGTTGACGCCCGTCGGCCCATTTCCTCTCGAAGCTCAGAAAGAACTCAGCCGTTACTGCATGAACGTCTGGAAGTTTGACTTTGATGGTGGCCGCCAGGATTGCAGTCTACACCCGTTCTGTGGAGGTGTCAAGGAGGACGTGCGGATTACCACACGATACGATGAGTCGCGTTTTGAAACGGGACTCATGGCAGCGATACATGAGACCGGGCACGCCAAGTATGAGCAGAACGGCGGTCCCAAGGAAATGATAACTCAGCTCGTTGCAAGGTACCGTTCTCTCGGTGTGCATGAGGGCCAATCCCTCTTTGCAGAGCGTATGGTTGCTCGTTCAAAACCTTTTATTGAGTTTCTTCTGCCGAAGCTGAAGGAGTTGTTTGGCGATCAACCGGCCTTTACGCCGGAGAATATGGTAAAAATTATACAGCGTGTGAATCCAAGTTTCATTCGTATCACTTCGGATGAGTTGTGCTACACCATGCATATCATCCTCCGCTATGAGATTGAACGCGGCTTGATTGAGGGAAAACTGCGCGTTGAGGATGTTCCCGCCGTGTGGAACGAGAAGATGAAGTCGTACTTGGGCATTGAAACCCTGGGAAACGACAGGGAAGGGTGCCTGCAGGATATTCATTGGTCCATTGGAGACTTTGGATACTTCCCGACTTATTCTCTGGGGGCGTTGGTTGCGGCGCAATTGATGGCCTCCATCCGGCGGGATCTCGGAAATGATGTGGTGGATGACTGCATCCGCAAGGGTGAACTTGGGGCCATTCTTGAGAAGCAGCGGGAAAAAATATGGCAGCATGGCTCCACCTACACAACCGAGGAGCTTCTCACAAAAGCGACGGGAGAGCCACTTAACCCACGGTTCTTCCGGGAGCACCTTGAGCGGCGTTATCGTGACAACTTGGGTTAATCCCTCGTGTGTATGTGTGTGTAGTTATTGGGGGAAAGCTAGTGAGTGAGAGTCATGGTGATGCAACTCCCCCTTCCCCATCACAAACAGAAAGATACACACACACGCACGCACATTCATTATAAACATGTTGAAAATTCTTTTAATAAGATGGATGTAAGTGTGAGATGCATGTATGCATGTTACTTCACTTTATCCATCCATCCACCCATCCACCCTAATTAGCACTTAATTTACTATTATTATCATTTTTATTATTATTTATTTATTTATTTATTTATTGAGGGGGGATTTGACAATGTGCTTTTTTTTTTTGCCTTTTGGATGTTCGTTTTGCTGCGCGGCATCAGTATACAAATCCCACCATACTTAGATACATACATATACTGTGTCTGTCTTTGTATCAACCGTACGAATTGGAGTTTATATTAGACGCAAAGCCAACGCAAACAGAGGCACAATTCAGAGAAGAGAGAGGGAAAATGACTTCGTTAAGAGTTTTAGTGCTTGGCGCCTTCCTAATGGTGGTGGCGATTCTTCTTGCGATTCTAGCATGTACGGTGGTTGCTGACAAAAACGCGCGGCCGCTGCTACCCCTCTTTGTTTCTCTCATCACACCGCTACCATTTGTGCTTTGTAGCCGGCCGCAGGGCAGTTTTTCGGAAGAAAGTCTCATTGACGGTCTTGGTCTGTTTTTAGGCGGTGCTCTTGTGGTGAGCGGACCAGCGCTGACGTGCGTGTTGTATCACGTTGGCGCCATCAGTTTTGGGGCGTTCTTTTTATCTATCTCCTCTGAGACTCTTTTGGCACTTACGGCGTATGTATTGACGGTGGACTCATCGAACGCAGATGATGCGTACGATTTTTAATAAATTTATGGGGTGCGTGTGGTACGTTGGCACTTGATAGACTTATTGGAACACGGAGAAGCGGGGAATTGTGACGGTTACATTTGTTGACGAGTTCATTTAACCTGAAGAAGAGCGTCGAGTGCAGGAAGAAAGCACGCAGACAGACAAAAGAAATGCGACGGAGACGATAAAAAGAGGGAAAGTAGTCGGCATCGTTGTCGTCGGCGCCGGCCAAGAAGGAAATTGAAGGCAAAGTAAAATATGGCAAAAAGAAAAAAGAGTCTTTTTTGTTTTTCTTGAGGGGAATGAGGGCCGGAAGTCATTTGTTTTTGTGCTTTTGACTTTTTTTGCTTGTGGTGGTGGTGTTGGTGGCTTTGGATTTGTTTCAGTTGTCCCAGCGCGGGTGTTCTCATTTTTATTTATTTATTTATTTTTTCTTCTCTCTCTCTCTCTCTCGTTGTTGTCTCCTGCGTGTGCGCCCACCTTGTGCGGTGTAGACGGCCGGGACGGTGCCTTTGTTGGATCCATGGCACTTCACCACCTAAGCGACATGACGTTCGAAGAGCTCGAACACTTTGTTCGGACAAACGGGGAGTCCATGCAACTCTCGCCTGCGGATGTGGTTGCCCTGCACCTGCACAGGCAGCGTCGTGGGTATCTCTCCGGAAGAGAACGCCCGCTGTGGCTCCATGACTCTATCAAGAGGGGCGACGAGAGGCCGTCGTGCCACGCCCTTCGATTGCTTATTCTTGGCGAAGAAACGGATGCCAAACTGGGGCTGGCGGCGCTGCTCCTTCACGGCGGTGGTCGTCCACGTCACGAGACGCTGTTGCTTGGACTCGGCCCTGTGGAGGAGGAGGAGACGGAGTCCGGAGGCGGCGATGGGAACAGCCGTGGCGATGCCGCCCTTCCACGCATCGAAGTGCTCGTGCCAGCGGTGGCAGACGTGACCGCCTCCCTCCGCGGGGAGTTGTGCATCGCCAGCGACGTGGTTCTGTTGTGCTTCAGCGTGAATGAGCATGCCACTTTTGACGCCCTCCGTCAGCGTTGGTGGAAAGACGAGGTGGGACGGGCCTTTGCGGTACTTGCGCAGGATCTTGCTGAGGCCCACCACACCACTCCGTGGCCCGCCACGCCCGTCATCGTCGTGGGACTCGCCGCGGAAAAGAGACAAGCTCTTGCAGGGAAAAACACCATTCCGGTTTCGCACACAGAGGCGGTACAACTTGCACAGAAAATGGGGGCTAGCAAGTACATGGAGATTTTTTCAGATAACCTTCATCATGCCCGCTCACTTGTGACGCAATGCATGCAAGTGACAAATGCTTTTCAGCAGTCTCTCTTGAAGGAGGTGGGGGCGGAGGCATTGTCGTTCCTCACCGCCGCGAAGCAGCAGATGTTGCGGTGTCATTTACGGGCTCCAAAACCCGATGGGGAGATCGATTCCCAGGCGATGCAACTGCGGCTACAAATGACACCAGGCATCACTTATTTCATGACATTTGATGGGACAGATCCACGTCATCACGCCTCGCCGGCACAAGTCCCCCACGACGGTGTTGTGGATTTGCGGCCATACAGCAAACAGCCTGGAACTGTGCTTCGTATCTGTGGCATGGCCCGTTGTGCCTATTCGAGTATCGTATTAGAAATAGAGGTGCCCAGTATATTAAAGCCCCCCAGTGGTTACTTTGACATCGCATGGCGACGATTTGTGTTGACAAAGACGCCCGATGATGCGCTCTGTGCGCACCGCGAAGTACGCTACACCTTGGATGGCACACAACCCACGAGGGCATCGATGTTGTACACTCATCCCATTGAATTGGACGTAAAATCCTCTGCGAATTTTCCATGGGGCTCGTGGCGCAGTAGCGTGACACCCCCGCGTGTCATTAGACTTGCTGCCTTTGCGGAGAATGAATTTACCTCACCCACCGTCACGTACGAGGTGCCGGCCGTGCTGAAAACGCCACAAATTGAGTACTCCCCACAGGAAAGCACTGTCTTTCTCAATTCCATGCAGCCAATGGTCGAATATCACTACACACTCGACGGGACGATGCCGACACTCACGTCGCCACTCTACACAGGGCCGTTTAGTCTTGCAGCCGATGTGACGCAGCAAGTACGCGTTGTGGCGTTTCCGAGGGTGTTTTTTCCGAGCCGTGAGGCGGTGTTTTACGTGCCTAAAGTTAAAACTAGTGGTAGTGGTAGTGGTATTTGTGGTGGAGACAGTAATGGCACCACGGCTGCTGCGCTGCTGCACCAGCAGAATTAATAGTGCGTTTCACATAACACGAACGACAATAATGCGGGGTCAACACTCAGCGCAGAAGATACGCAGCAGCAGCCTTAACAGTCTTATTGGTAGCACGAGCGGCAGGAGGAGGAAGAGGATGAGCAACGTGAACAGCAGCAACGAGGAGGAGAACGGACAGTCACAGACGCTGGTGAGGTCATCGACGTCTTTTTCTTCTTCCTACGCGAGCAGTCCGAAACTTCGAACCGCGGCTCGTGCTGCCCTAAACCGTTGCCATAACAGTAGCAGCAGCAGCTGCGGTATCGCCACGATGACGTCTAAAACATGCAATTTGAAAGAGACGCCACGGAAACGACGCGTCTGTTCCTCTTCATTATCTCCATTGGCGCCACAAAATCCACGTATACGCTCTAAATCCCACACTTATGATGGTGACGGTGATGATGATGAGAATTTCCTACAAGTAACCATGGCAACGACGACAATGGGGAACTATGAAGTCATGAAAGGTAAGAAAAGGGGGGATGACAAAAACTGTGGTAGGAGAGGGTTGAAGGACGATATGAAATCTAATTGTGGCGCCCCACAATGTACGGCTGATGACAACATTGTGGTTTTTGACTTTCCTGAACCCATTAGTCTCTCTTACATCTCTGTGATGACACCGGGGGAAGGGGCGGGCCCTAAATCGTACGAAGTAGAGGTGAAGCATGCCTATGGAACTGACTTTTTATCCGTTGGTAGTGGAGAATTGAAGGACATTAAAGGTGTACAAAAGTTGCAGGTAATTGAAAATGCCTGTCTGTTTCCTATTGACAAGGTACGTTGCATGTTTGACGGTGCTGCGTCAGGATTTTGCGTGAAAGACTTGAAGGTACATGGGAAGCCATTTAATTGAAACCCTTGAAGATATGTTAGATTTGCATTGTTGTAGACATTTATGTACGTGTATGTTTGTGTGTGTGAATGGGTTGCTATAATTTATTTATTTATTCTTTCAGGTATTTAGATTGCACCTTTGTTTGATCGAGTGGCATGGACGAAACTCTTGTGTACATTTATGAAAGCACCAAAGAGCGAAGAAGAGGAGGGGAAAGTGGAACAGCAATGATAATTGATTACTTTCTTGTTTGTTTATCATTATTGTTGTTGCTTCTCTTTTTTTTGGTTTGCCTGTGTTGCCCATGTTTACATATATGGAGGTAATAAAATAAAAATAAAATAAAATAAAAGGTGTTTGTGCGCGTGTGTGTGTACGCCTCGTGTAACGGCAAGGGCTGTAGTGCGTCGTTTGCCATTGGAGGAGGGTGCTTAGATACACATACATATATTACTGAGATCGAGAGGTAGAGGTGTACATGTGGAGAGCATGTTGATGGCTGGCACTGCGTGTTATCGAGACGTGCTGGATCGTCTCTCGCAGCGACTTGCTTTCCTACTGGAGGAGGTGGACAAATACCACCGACAACATTATCGTCATGGCGAAGGAGATGCGGCATGCGACGATACAAATTTTGGGGAGGCGGTACGTGTGGCGGGAGATGACGCGCAGGATTTTTCGCACCCAACCCCTCTTCTATCCTGGCCTTCGCTGCGGATTAGGCACCGCGTTGACGCATTACGTGCGTGGCTGAGCGGGAGGAGGGAGTTGCGGGAAAAGATGCAGCGTGTGGACGCCTCTATGCAGCGGCTGTTGAAGGAACATCTCATTGACCTGGGTCGTGTCACCGCATCTCACCCGCGCCGCGATCGATACGGTGACTACGGGCAGTTTGTTTCCCCCACTTTGGCCGACAGGGCCCAGCAGGACAGCGGCGAGAGCGGCGGGGCGGCGGAGCAGGAGGCGACGATTCGCCGGGTAGTCTGGCTGCACCAACAACTTCTCCGCCACAAGGACGAGTTCCGCGAGCTGCGGGAGCGGGCTTCGAATACATACGAGCACCTGCACCCGCAGTTTGATAAGATTGCGAGCGTGTGTGGCAGAATTTTTCATGCAACAGCGCAGAACAACGGTGGCAGCAGCGAAAAAACAAAAGGGAACAATAGTGACGACAGCGGTGCGGGAGACGTCGATGATCCCGTGGAACTGCATGCACTCTGTAGGCGCAATGAGGAGCGTGCACGGCGCCTGCAATCCCGTCTGCAGCGTACACTGAGCGTCTACCGGCAGATTGTTGCCCGCACCAACCTTGAGCTTTGCCGCGTGGAGCTTGAGGTGCAGGCGATGGAACGGCAATCACCCCACGCAGAAGAGTTAACGTTTTTACATGCATAGAGGTGGGGCAATCGCCGCCCAAACACCTGACAATTCTCTTACATGAAGCAATGCCGATTGATATACACTGTTGTGGGAGAAAAAATGGGGGTGAATGAGGAACTTTACCTTTTTCTCTTGTCTTTACATGTGCACATTACTTTTCTTTTTTCTCTCTCTCTCTGTGTGTGTATAAAAACGTTTTTCTGATATTTTTTTTTTCTTCTCTACTCGTTATTATTATGACCGGTGTTTCGCACATGGTTTTGAAGGGTGAATTGTTTTGCTCCCGCCGTGTATATGCGACGGGGATGGTTAGGTGTCCGTGCCGCTGCTGCAAGCACTCCACGTGAATCCTTTTTTCTGCGCTGCATGTGTTGTATTCTGCGCTATCGATGCAGCGTTACTCGTCGTCGTAGTATTACTAATAGTGATTGTGACAATGTGGCTCTTGCGTCACTTGCGGGATGTCATCCGGGGCCGTCGATATTTCATTCTTCGTTACTGATGGCACGTCGTGGTGCCGGTGTGGACCTTCTCTCGCCACTGGCGAAACTTGGGCACAGCCGTGACTTGGCAGAAGACATTAAAGCCTCTCGGAAGCGTTCCAACAAGGAGATTATTGCATCCTTTGAGAAGATACGTACATTTGATGAGATTCACTACCGCAAGACGGATCGGCCGTGGGAATTGGTGCCGAAGTATTCAAAGAAACGGGTCAGTGATCTCTGCGGCCTTTTAACCACGGAGGATCGCATGGAAATTGAGCAGACCATCGACAAGATGCAGTCACTGTGTGAAGTTGACATGTACGTTGTGCTTGTGCCAACAGTTGGCTACACAACACCGAAGGCCTTTGCCAACTCCATCATGTTTGACTGGGGCATAGGCGAGCCGGCAGGTAATGGCCTGCTGCTGCTCATTGCGCAGCATGAGGCGACAGTGCACCTCGTTGCAAGCCCTGCCATTGAGGAGTACTTTGACACGCATTTTCTTGAGCCTGCGGTGCGTGAGATATTTCAACCGCTCGTGCAGGAAGGGAAGCCAAGCTACGCGACTGTGCAGCTCGTGTATGCCATTGCACGACAGGCACAAGAAATGCGGCCATTGTGGCAACGCGGTCTACTTGCCATGTCCACCCGCAACAAAGTCCGCTTTGCCGTCAAGACCCTTTCATATGGTGTCTTCATCGTTCCGTACCTCGTCTGGGGTTCGCTGATCTTCCTCCTCTGTTCAGTAGTGCTTGTGAACCAGATGCTTGACACGCTTTGCCCCAAATGCAATAGTCTGATGTCCCGTGTACGGGATGACAAGACGATGCGGGAGGTGATGACGCGTGGGCAGTACTTGGAGCACGTTAATGGATGCGCCTTTTACCGCGTGTGGAAGTGCCCACATTGCGAGGATGGCAACCGTGTCGTGCTGGCTTCACGTGACCTGCACCAAAGCAACCGATGCCTGCAATGTATGGACTGTCACTATTACACATGTTCACTGACGAAGGAGGTGCAAAAGCTCCCTACCAAGGAGGAGGATGGCATCAAGCAGTTGCTATATACATGTGAGAACTGCCGCGTGGGCCGCGAAGTTCTACTGCCGCTGCTTCGCCCGTTGGATATGAAACCGGAGGAGAAGTGGTACGACTTCCTTATTGACCGCTCACAGACACACAAAAAGACAGATATCAAGCTGTGAAAAAAAAAAAAAAGAGCCCAAAAATGCAATCTGTGGCAGAAGGCGACATTTTGCGCGGCGGGTATGAAGGGATAGAGAAGGATTTCGAAGAGGAGAGGATTATGTTTAAAAAAAAAAAGGAATTTAAATGAAAATGAGATAAAGGACTGAAGGTGAAGAGGCGTACGAGAGGTGAACAGGGACACACATACAAATGAGAATGTGCCAGTATTTGCATTCGCCGATTCCACATTTTCAATCTACTGGATGCTCAGAGGGCATATTTTATATTTCTGTCATTGTGTCTGTTTGTTTATAATTATTTCTTTGTTTCCTTTTGATTTTCATGTTTCTTTTTTCTTTTCTTTTCTTTTTTTTTTGTGTGTACTCTTATATGTGCCACTCACCCGCTCCATCTATTTTATCTTTTTCACACGTACATCTTTGCATCCGTGCCCACAGTCCATGTACTACGAACTTGCTCCAAGCGTCAGGGAGGATGTCTTGCAGCGAGTGACGCGTCAGCTGGGAGGCGTAGCGGCGAGTGGCGCGCCACCGCCATGTCAGGAATGGGGAGATGAACTCCCGTTACATCTGGCGGCCACACCGGAGGATGTCATGCGTGCATACCCGCCCCCTCCAGCGCACCTCGCACCTGACGCTGGCGCCGCAGAGACGCCTGAACAGCAGCAACAAGGAAAAGTAAAGGAAAACGGGGCAAGAGCGGCGCATAAACGCCCACGCATTATTTCCCCCGAATTGCGCCAAGAAATGACTGGGAGAGAAGGGAACAGCGACGGCGGCGAGAATGCGTCTGTGTCCTCATCCTTCACTCCACATGTGCATTTTGACCCGTCATTTATACGCACCGACTACTTGGGGCGATCTTTCCTGCAGCCCCCACCCGCTCTACTCTCTGGTTTGGATTCCCGTGAGCTGGAGTGCCATCCGCCGCGGCAGATGAAAGGGGGCTGGGGCAAGCACGCGGCCGGTATTCAGCAGCTGCAATGGGTACCCCCCGTCGGGCACTTGTTGTTTGCTGCAGATTTAAAGGGCGAAGTGAGGCTTTACGAGGCGATGGCATCACGCAAGTGCATCGCGACCTTTGTAGCCCACACCCAACCCGTGAAGTCGTTGGAGGTCACACCGGACGCGTCCATCATGTCCACTGGCTCTGTGGATGGCACCGTAGCACTGTGGGATGTGGAAAGGGGTGTGTGCAGCAATGTCCTGACTAACACGGAAGGGCTTCCCTGTGTTCAGCACTTGCACCATCCGTTTGATACATCATCCCTTATCCTTGCCGCCCTCGGCCGCAAAATTGTGCTGTACGACGTGAGGGTCAGCTCGCACAAATACCAGCGTGAGTACACGGGGCACATGGGCACCATCTTCAACCTCACCCTGTTGAGCGGGGGGAAGAAGTTGCTGACGACATCAGAGGATAAAACACTTCGCACGTGGGATTTTCGAGTACCGGTGCAAATTAAACAAATTGCGGATGTCTCCATGCACGCCATCACACACGTTGCACGTCACCCGACGGAAGATATGCTGGTCGCCCAGTCGCTGAACAACCAGGCCCTCGTCTTTGCCGACAGCGGCGGTGGGCAGGTAAAGCTGCTGCGTCACCGGGTATTCAGCGGCCACACCATCTCTGGAACACGATGTCAACTCGCCTTCAGTCCTGACGGCCGTTATTTGTCAAGTGGCGATATCCACGGCAAACTCTTCATATGGTCATGGGCCACGTGCGAGCTTGTCCGTTCATTCCCCGCACATACGCAGACGCTCGCCTCCCACAGGTGGCACCCAATAGAGTCTTCGCGTTTGGTCACCTCGGCATGGGATGGAACGATAAAGAACTGGAGTTAATGGATGAATTTTCTCCACTCCCCTTATATATTATATATCATATATTAGGCACACAAATACGCACGCATGTTTCACGGATTTTTATTTTCATGTCTCTCCTCCTTTTATTTCTAATGCGGTCTTTCATTTCTACAATGATTGGGAGGTCTGTATGGCTGACTTTCATGCATATAACTTTCCTTTTTTCTTTCTTTCTTCTTTCTCTCCCTCCCTCTCTCTCTACATGTCTCTTTTCTTTCTTCTCATCGTACATTTTTATGTTTAGAGAAGTAAGTCAAAACCAAAAAAAAATAAAAAAATAATAAATAAATAAATAAATAAAAATACACGTATAATTATATTAATAATTTACTTCTTTATTTATTTTATTGTAGCGGAGAGCAAAGGAATAGATTCCTCAGACAGAGGCATACGCGCATTAGCCAAATAAAAAGAAAAAGAAAAAGAAAAAGAGAGTAGAAAACGACGAGAGGCGGAACAGACGACAAATACCCTCCGACGAAAAGATAGATCATAATAGTAATAATCGTAATAAAGGGGGAGGTGGGTGAGCCACCCTGAGGAGGCGTTAAGAGGAAGAAGAATAACGATAGGCGGCAGATAAGAGGTTGGGAAAGAGAGCGGAGAATACAACAACAACAAAACAAAAAAAAACGGTGGGAGGAATTTAAAAAAAAGAGGTTGTACGTGTTAAAAAGGGCAAACAGGGAAAAGACACACATACACACATACATACACAGGAACACGAGACATCAAAGGAAACCTTTCATCAAGAAGGAAAAGAAAATCAAAACAAGGCAAAGGAAAAAATGGCAAACAGCAAGAAGGTGCAACAGGACATTGATCGTCTGCTGCGGCGCACACAAGACGGTATTGAGGGTTACGAGGAGCTCTACAACAAGTTTCTCAAGGCCGCTACGCAAACGCAGAAGGAACGACTTGAGGGTGATCTCAAGAAGGAGATCAAGAAACTGCAGCGATTTCGTGACGGGATAAAGGCT